TATTTTATTTGACTTACAGGTATAAAATGTTACTCTTACTCTTTACATAAACATGGCGGTCACAGGGAAAATCTTTAAACAAAAATAGGACCAAAATGGAGCATCCACTACATCAGGAGTTCTGGTTAGGTTACTTCAGAATATTTATTCAGGGGTGTCAGAATAAGGAGGCCCAAATATAAATGCAAAAGATGCTTTTCCAGTTTTGGTTTGCACTTACGTCCTGCAAATCTGTTGCATCTTCATTCTGCACTTGACACTAAGATAAAAATAATTTATTTTGTGAGGCAAACACAGTTTTACTAAATTAAAAAAAAATATTTCCATTCTCAGATCATTTATATATTGATATTTAATGGATGCAATACTTGACATTTGTTGTCAGAATAGTTTTGACTTACTGGTTTAGGACAAACTTCCTTTTCACTATTAGTATTTTCTTTTTCCTAAGATGAAAATAAAATGTTACATACACAATATTTTTATATAAGCACAAGCTGTGGTAGTGAATGATTAAAAACATATTGCATTACTTTTAACTGCTTGAGTCTTTTCTTGAACCGTGCTCTCGGTCCCACTTTTGGTATCAGCTTGTCAATATCTCCATCCTCAAGGCAATAAAGGCTCTCAGTGTCAACCCCTTGAACTGTAATCCAATGAGACTCTGTTAACCACAACCTTAGAAATATGACTTAGCGATGCAGAGATCTATTTTATGCAGGAGAGGAAATGTTATCAACAATGTTATTCACTCCTAAGAGACCATTTTTTCCATGCCACGAAGAGATTGTATGAGAAAACACTTTTTATAAAATAAGTGTAGAGCTCTTGTATTTTCACCTTTATGACAGTGAAAGGAAAGGGAGACTGTCACCAATAAATCTTGCTACTTTCCCCAGTTCATGTTGTAACATCACAAGCCAGAAAATGACTTTGACTGGTACATTAGTTTGTTTAATTTCTCCTCAAACTTTTCACAAAAGTCATGCTTCATGTTTAAATCTGGACATTTTACATGATGCTGCCTGGCTGTAAACAATTAAAGTAAAATTTGGCTCTCAAGAGTTGAGTTAAAAAATATATATCAAAATCATTCAAATGGTCAGCATATTTTACAGTGCCATCTAATGGAGAAACACAGGCTAGACCCTTTAAAACACATTAAGGAGAGGTTTGAGAAGAAAAAAAAATGTTTGAACAAAATTATATGTGCAGTTCACTTGTTAAACAACAGCTGTGATTGTTTTTAAAACTATGTCCACTTTTATTATTAAAGCTCAAGTTATGCCAATGTTGTTAAATCAAATAAAATAGGGAAAAAAGGACCTTTCCTAATTAGTAGTCAAGATTTGTCATACTTTACCTTTAAATATTTCAATAAACTCACTGAGACCCCACTGGTTCAGTGTGTCGCATACAAAGGTATCCATTTCCAAGAACCGAAACTGAAAGTGAAAAAAACTCTGATTACTATACGCTGAATTACAGTTTACTCCCCGTTTCTTCCCCGTAAACTGGTGCTGAATAAATGCAGATAGAATAACATCTAAGAGCTGAAATTAGCACATTTGAGATCCTCACCTGTTTCTGAAGGTAATGCAAAGACTTTAGTCAAGCAGGAAGGGAGGAGAAGAAAAGAGCAAAACGACAGGAGGAAAAATCCCTGAAAGTAGCGCGAAAAAAACACAAAGCGAACCTTTTGCAGAAGATAACAGGAAGTGTTTTCCCACAGAGAGGCAGATTACTGACAGGAAAAAAACAAAAACAAAACCCCATTAAAAGTAGGGGGCGTGGTCTGCAGGAAAACTCAGACACGTGAGGAGGCGATCAGGAGAGAAACGCGGTAAAATGGCAGAGGCAGTAGTTAGAAAAAATACAGATGTCATTTTTACATCTAAAAAAGTAAAGATACAAATACCCTGGCAGGTATGATTTTAGTTCATATGTTGCATATTTCTTAACATGTGTTTGTTCAGCTATAAAACTTGCTGCACAGCTTAGTTAAAGGGGCAAAATGTAAAATCAACTTTTTTTCTGTTTTAGCTTTAAATCATGTAGATGTATCAGAGTTACTTTGATTCTTTTACCAGCATTGCACTGAGAAGTAGCTATTTGTGTTGGCTTGTTTGGGATCTGGGTGGAGAAGTGACAAGGAGTTGAGCTGCTCTGGCATGGAAACTGCAGCTCGAGCGACAGTTTCGGAATAAAGAGAATGAAGAATACAGGACCAGTGATATAAAAAAAACAATTCAAAGGAGACTATAAAACTAAAACTAACTAACTAAAAATACAGTTAGAACCAAACAACCACGTGATGATCATTTTCCAATACCAACGTTTTTGGTTGTCGCATACCAACGTATCCACAGAAGCTATTGGAGCAGGAGATGATCAAGGATAAATGACGTCAGATAGCATAGAGTTGATATGTGTAATGCCACTGGACTGAGTTTATTCAGGTTCTTTGAATGATGATGGACTCTTTGACTTCTGCACTGAATGAAGGTGTGTCTACCTGCTGACTCAGGACCTTTGGGTCCCATCATGGTACTTTGACTGGACCTGTTATCTGATCATAAAACATTATATCTTTGGAGGGAAATTATATTTATAATTTAAATCTGACTGGAGGTCATTTATTCCATCACTTATACATAATTTAGTTATTTTACGCACGTTCATGAACACATTTCTTTTTATCCCAACTCTTCACTTCACACCTCTGATTTGTGTAAAATCTTATTTGTATGTCATGACAAAAAAAATCAGATTATTTAATATCAGCAGTTCAGTGTACCTGAACCAATCCCACAAAATCAAAACTTGTTTGACTTATTTTCCAAGTTTTTTGCATAAGCATATTCAGCAGGTTCTTAATTACCTGCATCCCATGACAACACACTCTCTGTTTTGCACACAAGATAAAGACTCTTGTATTCTATCTGTTTCCAGTTCTAACTTGTCTTAGGCCAACTATGGGCTGCTGCATACACGTTCTTTAATTTCTTTGACGCCACATTACATTGTATAAATGTAGTACATCCACATATATGATTGAAATGAGAGCTTGAGAAGAAGTTGGTGTTTGCCAATAGTTTTTTTTCACCCACACAATAAAAGACTTGGACTCAAGTTGTTTTCTATCCACTTCTATCAAAAAACATACAATAAACTGCAAAGAATTAGTTTGTCTTTTTATAACCAGCAGAGCAATGAGATCATTAAATCATTAAATGTCACTTCTAATATTCTTGATTCTCCCACTGGTGCATTGTGAGTTTCTGTTTTGGTACAGAAGATGTTTATCATAACGACTACTCTTTTAGTTAGAAATGAATAAGGAACTGTTTTATGAGTGGTTCTTTGTTTTTCTAGGGAGTGGTAAATCAAAAGGTTTCAGGCTGGTATCATCAGGTGCTTATTGTAATGTCCTGGGGCAAATGCTTTATGGAAGCATTTGCACATGTTTGCATTTCCACGCAAGGGCTCTCACCCTTGCCTGCAGCATTTAACCCTGTGGTTTTATTTTCCTTAGTTTCTTTGCACCAGGAAACATATGGAAACTTTGCTTTGCATTAACAGGCACATTGCACACACCTCAAATTCCAACCTCATACATGGTTTTGTTTTAGATTCTTAATTTGGATACATTTCAGCTTATTAAAAGAAATAGTCTACAAGTCTTCTCTTATGTCGTCACCTCAGGATTTGGTTTGTATTTGTTTTTGTGCATTTTTGTTTTCTTTATTCTGTGTAATTAAAATGTACATAAATGGATAAAAATATGACCTGCTAGTGTTTTAGAGTCCTTCCTTTCCTATGTCAAAGCATGCTTGATCTCACTTCATGTAGATACTAGAGGACATTACCAGGACAAAAATGAGAAGAGTTTGAGTGGAAGAGAAGGAAATTAGTACCAGAAAAATGTAAAATTACTGGATATGTTGACAGACGTGATTCTCTTTTAACCTTAAAAATGTATTGTCATTTTACATAATCTATAAAACAGCACCAGTGCACAGTGTGACAAATATGTCTCAGTGAAGAAAAATAAATAAATCTGTGTGCTGGATTAGTAATGTGTTCACCAAGGTTGAAAATACTGAACAGATTGGACCCCATCAGATAGGAATCAGATAGGAGCTCATTGATGTCGGATTAAAATCTGTTTTCATGGTAAAGTTTTTCTCAACAGGTCTCTGAATTTCTATCGGCTGTGCCGATAATTCACTCTATATTATTGCACACTGCATCCAAGCTGAGTGGATCGTGGTGCAGAGATGACAGAGAAGCAGAGTAAAGAACTACTGATGCACACATGTTGAAATATAAAAGCTCTTTGCAGCAGGTTCTGGTGCCATGAAGGGGAAAAGTTAGAGCATCTCTTGATTTTCTTTTAGCTAAAATAGTGGAAGTGTGTTGTATGTTTAGTGTGTTTTATTTCTGACAACACAGACCCAGATGATTTTATAACCAGACTCATCCATGGTCCCAAAACAAAGTCTGAAGAATTACACAATATTCAGGTATATATAACTCTTCATTGTAGCAGTAACTGATAATCTTATATGTTGCGTTCAAAGTGAGAGGCAACTATTTCCAAAATGTATCACTGCAGCTATCAGTGACAAAATTTCCTACACCTCCATCTTATCAATTGTTATAATATAAAATGTATAAAGGTTCCTCTGAACCCTGAGAGAATGAGGCTGAAAATCCACATGTTAAATATTCTGAAGAAGACGCTCATGATCACTGACCTGGAAACCCTTCTTCATACAACATTTAAACATATTCTTAGAGGTGTGAGACTTTCCTTTATTGTTAGGTTTGTTTTCAAAAGATGGATTTTATTTTAGGAAGAAATAAGGTTTGTGTGAGTGTGTCCATTATACAAAGTGAACAAAAAAATCAATTCAAGCCATATTATTTATTTCACCTTTTAATAACAGCAACAAACAGATAAAAATAAAAACATGTACAGGCAAAACTGTCTATTTTTAACTCAGTTTGAAAGTAATTAAAATCTTTATTTGTGAAACACATAAATGGTGATTGGTGTTCAGACATGATAAAACTAACTTTATGTAAAATAAGCATAAAACCTGAATTGGACAAGCTAAACCTTGAATAAATGGTTCTAGATTAATTAAAGAAAACTTTGATAAACGTTTGTGAAACACTTAAAACTCTTTATCTTTATTATACAGTAATAAAGTTCAGTCTTATCTAAAGCTTCACTTGTGACATGTTTCTTTCTCCAGTTTAACAAACAGAAATCATTCGCTACAAAAAAGTCTCAAGTCTTTCAAAATGAAAAAAAACAATTTTTTTGTTGACTTTTTCAATGAGTTTTTTTTATTTTTAGAAATCATTAATTACTATAATGATTTCTATACAAGCATTATTTCACAAGAAATGATGAACAAACATGAAGAAAGATGTAATGGTAATATATATTTTTTTAAATGAATAATCTTGGAGCAAAGTTGTTTCAGTTGATGATGTCAGGAAGTTTCTAAGTAGGTTAATTTACAATATTAGGTTAAAATAGAGGAAAACGTCGCTGTACCACCCTGAAAGTTGTTACACAAAACAAGTAAGAACTGCAAAGGATCTACTAATGGAGACTATTTCTCCTTCAAACGTTCCCAAAATGAGCAGAATGAGAATCATTGATGTGAAGACATGAAGACAGAGCAGAAGCTTCCCTTATGGAGATTCTTGTCATGGTTTCAGAGGAGCTGTTAATTTGAAAGGATGATGTTCTATTGATGTCATATACACCATTGATCAATGTTGAAAACAAGATTCAATACTTTACCGTTTTCATGAGCTTTCTTCATTTGAGCTGTTCTTAAGCTCACTGTAGAGTTTCTTCACCATTTTGAGCTCTGCTAAAACATCTAACAAAGCAGTTTTTGATGAGATGTAGCATCAAATATTTACAGAACGTATTTTAAGCCACATTTCAAAGACAAATAAGTTTTGCTTTACCTGGAATTGATTGACAATCTGTCCTGAGGGAGAGGTCCATGGAGTTGTCCCAAGTGTCCTTCATTGTTTTCAGAACTTCCACCTAATTTAACATTAAAGTCTTTATTTTTAATGTAAAAGTCTAAAGCTCATAGATGCATGAGTAATTGCAGAGTTAAATAATTATACGTTTTATTTTTACATTCTTTTAGCTAAAGAATCTAAAAGAATCAAACAATGTTTTAGATTCTTTTCAAGAATTTGAAACTATTTTTACACAAAACAAAGTTTTAATAAACTCAGTTTATTGAAAGATTTAAAACACTTGGTTTTGTGCAGTACTATAATCTAACAGAGTGCCACTGGTCTAATGAAAAAGCAGAACTTTTAGTCAGAGATGTTGTCGAGGATCATTTACTACAAATTTATTACCAGAAAAAAAAACCGCATTAAGTTTTTGATGGAATGTGTAAATTATCATATAGAAATATATCTTCCAAGCATCAAAACACTTCAGGTTTATGTGAAGTAAGAATGTACCTCAGCCCACTATTAGATATGATTTCTAATGCTGTGGGTCTTTTTATTCTACTGAATACTGTGGGAACCTTATTATAGTGCATGTTATCATGACTCTGACATATTTTTGCCACATTGATTTTTTTATCAAGACCATTGAAATACAGTTGTGGTCAAAAGTTTACATACACTTGTATAAAACATAATGTCATGGCTGTCTTGAGTTCCCAATAAGTTCTACAACTCTTATTTTTCTGTGATAGAGTGATCAGAACACATACTTGTTTGTCACAAAAAACAGTCATAAAGTTTGGTTCTTTCATACATTTTTTATGGGTCTGCTGAAAATGTCACCAAATCTGCTGGGTGAAAAATATACATACAGCAACATTAGTATTTGGTTACATGTCCCTTGGCCATTTTCACAGCAACTAGGCACTTTTGGTAGCCATCCACAAGCTCCTGGCAAGCTTCAGGTCGAATGATTGACCAATCTTCTTGACAGAATTGGTGCAGTTCAGCTAAATGTGATGGTTTTCTTGCATGAACCCGTTTCTTCAGCACTGTCCACATGTTCTCAATGGGGTTAATTCAGGACTTTGGGAAGGCCATTCTAAAAGCCTGGTTTATCCATTCTTTACCACTTTTGATGTGTGTTTTGGGTCATTGTCCTGTTGGAACACCCAACTGCACCCAGACCCAACCTTCGGCTGATGGTTTTAAGTTTTCCTGCAGAATTTGGAGGTCATCCTCCTTTTTCATTATCCCATTTACTTTCTGCAAAGAACCAGTTCCACTGGCAGCAAACAGCCCAAGCATAATACTACCACCACCATGCGTGACAGTAGGCATGGTGTTCCTGGGAAAGGCCTCACCTTTTCTCCTCCAAACATATTGCTGGGTGTTGTGGCCAAACAGCTCAATTTTTGTTTTGTCTGACCACAGAACTTTCCTCCAGAAGGTTTTATCTTCATCCATGTGATCAGCAGCAAACTTCAGCCGAGTCTTAAGGTGTCTTTTCTGGAGCAAGGGCTTCTTTCTTGCACGGCAGCTTCTCAGTCCATGGCGATGTAAAACACACTTGACTGTGGAGACTGACACCTTCGATCCATCAGCTTCCAAATCCTTGCAGACCTGCTTTTTGGTGATTCTTGTTTGACTCTTGACCATCCTGACCAATCTCCTCTGTGCAGCATGTGATAGCTTGCGTTTTCTTCCTGATCATGGCAGTGACACAAATGTTCCATCCACTTGAAACTTGCGAAAATTGTCTGCACAGTTGCTCTTGGGACCTGTAGCTGCTTTGAAATGGCTCCAAGTGATTTTCTTGATTTGTTCAAGTCAATAATTCGCTTTTTTCAGATCCACTCTGAGTTCCTTTGACTTTCCCATTGTAGCTTTTGTGGCTGAGTTTAATCACAGGGTCAAATGAGCCCTATTTCAATGGGCTCATGAGAAGTGAACAGCTGTAGTCAATCAGAATCACTTACAAGAAGTGAAGAGACCATGACATGAAGCTAATTTGATTTACACAACTCTCTACATCACCAAAATTGACAATTTTGTTGCTGTATGTATATTTTTGACTCAGCAGATTTGGTGACATTTTCAGCAGACCCATAATAAATTTATGAAAGAACCAAACTTTATGACTGTTTTTGTGACAAACAGGTATGTGTTCCAATCACTCTATCACAGTTGTGATAAGAGTTGTAGAACTTATTGGGAACTCAAGACAGCCATAACATTATGTTTTATACAAGTGTATGTAAACTTTTGACCACAACTGTATATTGAGTGTGAGTAATTGTGGACTTTGTTTCTGATATATTTGTTACATGGATAGTTTAGATTTTGCTCTGAATGAGCAACATAAATACTGTTTTAACATTTAAATAAGGACAAACCTTTAAGTCCTGGAGGTGGTTCAACATGTCATCTTTCGCCTTTGCAAACATGGTGTCCTTTGATTCCTGAACATGTTTTTTTACTGTTTCTCTCATTTTCTCCAGCATACCAGATTTTGAGTGTCCTGCTGCAGCTGAAACAAAATCAATCACAAATGGTAAGAAAGATTTTAAACATGTTTTATCGTAAAATAAAATTTTTGTAATTCTCACTCTTGTAGCATTCTTGCATGGTCTCCTCAATTGTCTTTGTCAGACTGTTGTACATTATTTTCTTTTGGTCTCTTATCCTTTTGTTCAGCTTTTTCTTTAATTTTTCCTCCTATGAGACATGTTAGAAAAGCAACTTTACTGACAAAACTAAAGAGAAATTGATTTGATTCAAATCTGATAAATTGTTGCAATGCTTGCATTGCATATTTTCTCTATTGTTTACCTCTGTCTTGAGAAATATCAGCTGCAGTTCCACCTCTTTGTACTTTTCCCTCAGACTTTCAGTGTCAAGTGAAAACTTGTCAATGACACCATTAAATGGGCCACAGTTACGGTCATTTCTGAAACATTTTAATATGCTGAAGTCATTTAAAATGGTACTTTATCATAATTTTCTTTTAATAAACCCTTGAATTGTGGATTTACAAATTTCAAACTTTCATCAGAGTTGAACAAGACTTTTCATACGTATTAAATTCTTACGGGAAGGTTTTTCTGAATTCCTCATCAATGCTGTCAGTCAGGAATGAAGTGAGTTTCATGTTGAGGTTGATTTGTTCTCCGTTTTTGGGTTTGTGGACTCCACCATTTTTGAAAACGCACTTTAATGTTCCGTGATAACCACCACCACGCTTTCCCTGAAAAATAAGACATTATTTCAAATGCGAGAAAATTTCAATGAACTCTGTGGATACTGTCAAGTAACATACCTGAGGATGGAGAAAGTTATGCAGCGTTTTTTCACATGAGCTTTTTGATTGTTCAACCCCTTCAGACAGGCATTCCTCAAAAACCCGGTAAGCTCTTTCCATTGCTTTTTGTATTGTATCATGGTGGAGAGCTATGTTTCTCTCAAGCTTTTCACAAACTTCTGTGTGTATTCCAGTCTGAAAAAAGGCAACTCCTTGTTAGTACATGTTGTAAAAACTGGTAACTGTTTATGAAAGAGTCTTTAATCTTTCCTCTGAAGCTTGTTTTAATAATAATGACAATAAGAGGAAAAAACAAGCAGCTTATTCAAAAACTTCTTCCAAGATCTAATGTGAATTAAATGCACAATAATCCATCGTCCAACACAGAGACAGACAGGACAATCATGTTCATACACACACGCACAACCAAACACCTCAGGAGAATTTATAGAGATCAATGAATCAATGCACAATAATTAAATTCATAAATAAATAAAAAATCAAATGACAGATAGAAAATGGCAATTTAGAGCACTGCATATAAAAAGTGAACTGGCTTTGAAAGGAGATAGAAATGCTGTGTTTCAGCTGATACTGGAGATTATATGGCCAACTCAACTTTAAATTTTCAATCTAATGGTATAAAGGAGAGACAAAGAGATTGGGTCTCGGAGTCTGTGAAGAAGGATGATGTGCAGAAAAGTCAGAGTTATGTGGAGGTCAAAGGTTATGGAGAGACTTGGAGGTTTGAGGAAATTCACCTGTTTTTCCAAGCTGGCTCCATGAATCAAAGAGAGAATCCCATGAGCTCCAGAAACATAGTTCAGCGTTTCTGAGTGATCGTCATTGAGCTTTTGCAAAAAATTTTGAAGCTTGGGGATTTCTGTGAAAGCAAAAATATTATTAACTTTTATTTCAACAGTGTCACAGCCAGATTGCTGAGAGGATCTGAGTTACCAACAAAACATTCAGAGAAATTACAAATTTAACATACCAGTGTTCTCTGGACTGAGAATCGTTGGTTTCTGAAACTCTTTGGAGCTCACTGTGTACACTTTGAAAGAGTCATCACTGAAGTGTTTCTACGTAAAACAGATTATATTTTCCAGAAATTAAGATTCCAGCTAGACCTACAGAAACTCATTCATCTTTAGTCACATTGATTACTTCAAGTGTTTTCACAGGTTTGTCTACAAAAAGCAACTTTACAGAATGTGTCTGTTCACTTTCTCACTGAAACCAGGAGGATAGAGCACATCACCTCAGTTCTAAAGTCCTTACACTGACCCTGTGTAGTTAAGACAATAGGCTTCAAGATACTGTTGTTACCTTATAAATTATTGAACAGCTTAGCACCAAAATACAAAACAAGTCTTTTGGTTGCTCTGCAAGCCAGAACCAGAACTAAACAGACAGAAGCAGCATTAACACTTAAAACCCACTTGTTTAGAGTTACTTTGAACCGTAATAAAATTATTAGAAAGTATTTATTTAGTTGTTGTCTTGACATGCAAAGCTCACCTTAATCTTGTGTAGCTTGTTGAATTCTTTGCGCACTGCTTCCTTTACTTTCATGTTTCTTCTGAGGATTTCAGCCTGAAGTTCAGCTGAACTGATGGAAAAAGACATATTGATCCTTAAAGTTGTTTCAGCTGAAAAAATTAGATTCTCCACGTAATCCTATTTATTGACAAGTTCAATTTTTATAGAGTTTAGTGGAAAGAGGATGAAGATTTGCGAACGAAACTCCTGTTGAGTTTTCCAATTACTAATTTTTAAGAACATGTCTTCAGTATTAAATGTTTTGCACACTTTTGTTTCCTCATTTCACTTACTGATCAGTAGAGTCTTCGATAACATCAGATTTTGTGCAGATAAAGTGAATGTTTCTGCACTCCCCACCGTTTCCTATGAAACTACTGACACTATTCAAGATTTCCCAGGATTCTCTCTCTGATGCTGCTCGGTTGATTTCAGTGACGATCCACACAGTAGAACAGTTCCCAACAATCTGGAACAGCAACAAATATATTATAATGATCAATAATATGTGCTGATATGTTTCTGTTTTCTTTAGATAGCAGCACTTTACCCCTTTCCACATTGTATCTCTGCTCTTGTTACGGTCTCCATTTCCAGGAAGGTCCACAAGAGTGATGTGTTGGGGAAAATCATCTGGCACTTTGACAGTCACACACTTTACAAGAGGCCAATACCACCTGGTTCGTTCTGTTTCCCCTCCATGATTTGATTCAGTTCTTGTGTATTTAATCATTTTAGCAGATAGCTGTTTAGCCTGCAAAAAATGGAAAGAAGGTAAACATGGGAAATTTGACTTTAAATCAAAAGTTCTTGTTTAGTTTAATTTGCAAGACCAAGTTATCAGTTTTATGAAGAAATTGAGTTAATAGCAGGGTCTGTAATTAATTTATTGCAAATAATTACATTTCAGTTCAAAACTATATACTGTATATAAAATAAGCAACATTTTTAATTCAACACCCCATGCTGCTGCTAAATTATTAAATAGACAGATGAGCTTGAGAGGAAATATATTTATTGTTTTCAGTCTGTTATTTAGGTTCTTAACCAGAAACAGATGGATGCAAAGTGTTATTATACCCATTCAGCTTTCAAACATTTCAAAAATTCCTAATAATTTCTGTAACTTCTATGAAAAAATAATTCTTTAAAAATATGAACTGTGGACGCTGGCATTATTTATTGACAAATTAGTACTTAAATAAACACAAAAATACATGAGCTGCTTTGCATCAACAATTTATGTTTAAATGTTGGTTTGCAGCTGTACTAATATACTAATTCAAAGATCCTTCACAGAAGGAAATGGAACCTTCTGTGTAAATATTTAGCTTTAGCTGAGATTTGTAGAACAAAATTGAAGAGTCGTGGTCAGCCAGGTGTGTATGTAAACACCTTTTGGGTATTTATGCAAATATACTTTTAGAATGGATCCTACACAATACTTAATAAATGAGATCTCTGGTGTTTTAGTTAAAGAGGATGAGCAGCATTAGATGTTCGGCCTGCACATTGTTGTCAGCAAACCCTCTCTCCATATTTAATAAGTTCATAACATTTGTGGCCATTTTCAAGTGGTTTAATTACATAAATTAATAAAATATGACTAAAATACCATTCTCTTTATTATTTGTGGCATATAAATGATTAAATGAAGCTTCTTATATATTTCTAGTTATTCCTGATTTTGGCTTTTCTGGTTTTACTTACTGTTTCACATGACAGTATCTTTTCTGTGGATTGAAGAAATTCTGGTATTTCTCTGAAATATTTGGGGTCCATTAGTTGTCCAGAAGATTTTTGTTTCCATTCCTCTCCATAGAGTGCAGACAGCTTTTCAGCAACATCCTGATAATCATCATCTTCATACTTTTTTTTTTATCTCCAGTATTCTCTTGAAACTGACTCACTGACCACAACTCATCTTTCCATTCCTGGACATAAAAAAATGTTTGATGAGCTCTATTACATTGTGATTCTTCAGTTTATGTGAAATAGAAGGAATTATTTCTTTAGTTCTTTTACCTCTTTTGTAATAAATTCAATATGTGCCTCATACTTTGTATTGGACATGTTTGCCTCCACTTTAATCATGACTGAAGTGCATGCATCAACATCTCCAGATGGCAAAAGTTTTCTCTCCTCAATGAGAGCGTTTATCAAACTGGTCTTTCCAGCTCCAGTTTTACCAAAGACACCAACCATTTCTCTTCTGTCTGTCTCCAGATCCTTAATTTTATCCCTGTGAAAAAATAAAGATGTTTTGATTTATTAACTTTTAAAACATATTAATTGATGTGTAAGTTTTAGAATTCATATTTATATTTAAAATTTCATTGAAACAGGAATTTTGAAGTCTTTTGTAAATACGAGGAGATTGGAAAAGATTTTGATGTCTTAGCAGAAAACTATGAGTAAGGAAGAGGAGGCATTGAACTTGTTCCATCATTACACAGCAAATACAGTCAACACCAATGGAGGAAAATATGAACAAACATCATCATCACATAAAGACTGAGACTCTGCCAATAGCTTGGTGATAACAAAAGCATAGCTTCAGAAATTTCAGGATAGTATTTGTTGTGTTGTTAATGTAACGATAGTAAATTGTATTCTCCACATGCCTGGATCAGTGGGATTGAAATACCGAATCATCTTCAGAATTGACTAGAACCCCCACAAAACTTGAAGAAGAACAATTTGTGGTCAGACTTGTACTTTGTAAAGGGAAATTTGGTCTGTACATTACAAATGTTTTTGTATCTTTCAGGAGTTTGGGTTTGGTTAAATGAATTGTATTGCTTTTGCCAATACCATCTGTGTTTCACTGCAGTGATTTTATTGTGAACCAGGTCAAATGAGCTCTCATGCCTCCAGACTTCCTTAAGAGATGTTGTTCCCCTTATTTACTACATTTACCTAAAGTGATCTGGCAAACAAATCATTCTTTACTAGAGACACAGGTACAAGAACTTTCTATATGAACATCATTTGGTTGGCAAATGCCCAGTTTGTTGAAATTTTAGAGGCTAAAACAAAGGTCAAGCCTTCATGTCTAGAGAAGGAAGAGGAGTTATGGAGGAAGCAGAGGGAGAGAAGATTGTGCTTTAGACATGATCTTGAGCCTCACATATAAAGTGTGCTTACGGCAACCTTATTGCACAAGTCGGCATGTATCTAAATGAGCTTGCCGTAAAATTTTGCAAAACTATACGTAAACTTTTTACCTGCCATAAAAATTTGCGGAAGCCGCGGCTTTGTTCATCTGAACTTTTTTGTGTCACACTTTTCTAAATTTGTCTGTACGCCAATATTTACTATGGAAGCTGCAAACTCCTTTCAGCATGAGACCCTGAGTCAATTTATATGCAGATGAGAAAAGAGCCTCTAACAAATAATGATCTTTGTATGGACAGCCAATAGACAGATCAGCTCTTGTTCTGGTTTTAACTCATATAGAAGTAGCCATAGCCCAAAAGAATAAAGTAATCTGAATTAAAACCATGAAAACTAGTCAAGCAGACTTCATATGTACTCACCTTAGGAAAGAATTCAGCTTTGTGTTTTCTTGATTGCGTAGTTTATCCAGAACATCTTTCATAACATTTTTCACTTTAGATTGCAGTCTTAGTTCTGTTATTTAAAAAGAATAAGAGGAAAATTACATTTGCCTGAACTATGAATTTGAACTGAGAAGGATTTTGAGTCCCAGGCCGTTGATACTGGCTTTAACATGGTGATAATACATATCATAAACCAGACACAGTTTTGAATATTGCTTTGACAACAAGTGCATCATAAACTGTGTGATGAAAGTGGTTTAACACTTTTGCATGCTCTGGTCTGAACAAGATGCTGTTCCTATTATCTATGTCTGAACTTGCTCACATTCCTGTGGTTTGAAGTTTCTGTTATTTTGTTTTGCATTAGATGTGTTTTTTTGATGATCACAAACAATACTAGTTATAATTCATCCATCTTAAATAATTTAATTTGCAGCTGACATCTGCAAATTAACATCTGCAGTAAAATTAGCTAAATTTTAATAAATGTGTAAGGCTGAAATAAAATGAAAAATAAAAAAGGGAGGGGTCATTGCTGTATATCAGAGGGGATCTGCATAGCAACTGGAAGACAAAGGGACTGGACACTCACCCATTACAGAGGGTGAAAAACGCGGGACGGCGTAAAAGTTGGCACAAGATGGTCGACTTCTGTAGAGTGATCTACTTTATAATGTAGCGAATCTATTTAAAACTGTTAGTGTGAGGTTTTGATGCTGTGGAGCTCTAGCCTAGTGTTGTACAATGTATAGGTGTGGCATGATCTCCAAGTATCTGGCAGTTTGAGTTGGTGCCATTCGGTGGCACCAACTCAACTTACTTCTTTGTAAGATGGGTTGTGACAAGCTTTTATTCTTTTAATTGCCTGTTGTCATTTTTATGAATAATTACCTGACAAAGATGACATACTCCTGCGAAACCGTTTGGCTGTTGGTTCTCCTTTCTTAAACTCCTCTAGATCCAACTTTCTCTTTCCTTTTTTTGTATCTTCAGACCCAAAAAGGAGAAAAAAAAAATGTTTAAAGGATTTCTAACAAGGATTTATTTTTGTAACAAGTTACATATGTAAGAAATATGTAATAAACTTTAATTCTCACCTCCATTACTTGTGGATGGATGTACCTGAGAATGAACAGATTTATTTAACTGCTTTCACATCATGTAATGGGACAAATACTTTTTAATCTTTTGTAATGTAGCAAATAAATCTCCCTTTAGTCAATGGTAAAGAGTGATTTAGTATCTCTAGTAAAGTTTTTAAAAGCTAGATTGCTGAAGTTTTAAAAGGCTTCAGGGATCAATAATATTCTCAGTTAATAATGCAGCATATTTTCCTCAAAGTTTCACAATTGCCAAACCCTTAGGTCAAAGTATTTAACAAGAAGAAAACTAAACTATAGGTTGAGGGTCAAGATATGATTTTCTGTGAACAGAGGAATATTTGCCCAGGAGCAAGTAATCCAAAAAAGCAGTGACTTGTAAATTGATGCACAAGGTTGGTCCATTGCTGATGAATCAAGTTTGTTAACTGTCATGAAAACTGGTATGAGGAGGTGAGATCTGTCCACGTTCACGTAAAAAACAGACCATAACAGGCCTGAGAGACTGAAGTAATCTTGCATGCTGATTTAATGTTGATTATGGGAAAACGTATTATGTTGAAGTGTCGGTCAAGTATCGGTGATTATGAAGTAAGTAAATTCTGAAGTTTATTGTTGATAATTATGTAAATCAGTTAAACAACGAATTACAAGTTGAAAGTATAATCACATTGAATCAATAGAAATGAGTATTAAGAAGGTAGGATTGAAGAAATGTATTAAAAGTGGTTGTGTTGATGAGTATAAAAAGCATAGGGACAGTCTTTGAGTGCAAAGGCAAGCCTGGACATGTTCTGGTAATGGGTGTGGACAGGCCTGACTCATCGCTGGAAAAGGACATCTGGGCAATGGGCCCAGAGGCCTGGGGCAAGTAGAGGATGAAGTAATCAGGGGACCTGGTGTAAGCGAGCAGGCCTCGTATGAAGTAATCAAATACTTAAGAAATCATGTAATCTGCTCCCCATACACACAGTGGGGGAATAGAGTATAAATAAGCGGAGAAACAGAGAACTGGGGTTCTTCATCTTCAGCAAGTGGAACGAGCAACAGCGGGCCAAGAAATCAACGAGGAAGCCTCACCCGGACCCAGAGGGAAGACAAGCTTACACTTCGCTGGAAGGAAGACGGGACCCGATGCTCAATAACTCTGACTCCTAATTCGACCGAGGCTCTACACTCAACCCAAAAGATCTCAAGAACTGGCAAGGATTTGGGGACAGGACAAAGATCACCAAGGTGATGAAGATTTGGGATGTTTGAAAGATAACTACCAGCTCAGCTTTGTTCCTGTTCAAGGAGGATTCATCACACCAAAATAAGATTCTAACCAAGAAAATGAATTCTTTTGCTGCTGAGATCCACTGTCATCTGGGTATGAGTTGCCTGCACCCAAAAGACTTCTTTAGTACCTACAGTTTAGGTAGACGTGTTAGGAGATATGTATGTTGATTTTATTCAAATATAATTTTACTCTTTCAAATTTGTAATCATTAAAAAATAAATCTGTTTGCCATTTACTCCTGCTTAAAGCTTGCTCAAATAAATACATATATATATATATATATATATATATATATATATATATATATATATATATATATATATTTAAATTCTCATGAGGTTTGTAAACATTGAAATTAATTGAGTCATATTAGTAATGGTTCTTCTATTTAATGCAAAATCCATGATCATTGTTCTAGAAAAGTGGTGGCTTTGGACTTTCCTTTAGTTGACATATAAAATAATGACTCTGGGACTTACAAAGTCACTGAAAATATTCTAGCCATTAACAAGTGCTCGTTATTCTTAGAGAGAGGGCTACTGTTAACAGAAATGGTTATTGGAGTTATGCAGTCGTGACTCTACTCAACTGATTGCTTCTTAACTGAAAAGGGTCATAACTTCTGGATAGTAGGTAGTTAGAGCTAGACGATTATCTCTCGACACCTGCTTAGACAGATTGTTCCTCTCAGACCTTCTACAGGGTAAAACCCAGGCTTCAGGAACTTTCCGGACCGGTTAGACGGAGAGCTGGTCATTAGTCAGGGCAGAGGGGTTGTGAGGATTAGGGCGGGGCTGGCTACTGCATAATAACCAACATAATCCTTGTGTTGTGTTTTTATTTGTATTAATGTGTTGTGAACAAGTATTTTATCAAACAGCCTCAGTTTTCAAATGCCACTCTAAGCCTCAATGTTCCTGCATGGAACATCACCTGCAGTCTAACGACAGGAGTTAATTCTTGTTATAGTCTTATGCTTTTTTATTATTGTTATTATATTTGGAGACACTAATGCTGTAAAATAATAATTTTAATTCATTTTTTGGCCAATTGAGATAACCTTCAACTTGAAAGTCATGGAGGTTCTGAAAAAATTGATTTCTTTTTGCTGCTGCTGAAAAAAGATTATTGAAACAATCTGGTTTCCATCTATGTTAAATTACTAAATGGCTGACCAGAAGCAACACTGTCATCAGAGCCACTAAGTGTGACATAGAAGATGATGAAAATTGGTCTTCCTCCAAAGACAGTCAGTATTCAAAACTTTCAGAACTACTGGTTTAAGGCTTGGAGACATTTATTTGCAGTGACAGCTTGTGGTTTAGGCTCAACTGCAGTGCAGGAATGTTAAGGAATAGTTTAGGGATAGTTTTCACTCAATCCAGGGGAGAAGATAAAAGGCTCCTTGTCTTTAGTTGGTGTGATGTACAAAGACCCTGGATGAGATATTTGATTAAGAACGTAATGAAAGATTAGTTATTTTAAAAATTATATAAAAAATATAAACACTTTGTGTAAAACAGCCAGTTGTCAATTCAACATAGATAACTGAAATTTAGTTAAGGACAAAACTCTCATACTTACCTCAGTCTGAACAGTTGCGTTTTTCTGTTTCTGTTCAATATAAATTACATAATGTGGTGACATACAGGTAATATATTAATGTCACAATTTTAATCCATCTCAGTGTTTTTATTGATAACTGTAAATAACATTTAGTTCAATCTGTTGAACTCACCGCCAAAGAAAAAGGCGATGTGTCCTCATTTCTGTTTTTTTTTTTCTGCAGGTAAAACAGGAAGAATGTGATGACAGATTTGCACTGATGCAAATGCCTCATCGATCCACAGCACTGTCTGTTATCTAATGGATTCTTGGACATTTGCAAATAACATCAATGTGTTATTTGCAAATGTCCAAGAATCCATAAGTTTATAGTCATTATTGTGACCGTTAATGATATATTTAGTTTTACTTATAAGCACCATCTAAAAGTTAGGGTGCAAGACAATATATTTACACAGGATATGAATGTTGTGATTAAAACACACATGCTTGTCATGTGATGTTGCAAATTACCTTTAACAGTTTCAGATTCTTTCTGAAAAGTGCTCTTGGTCCCACTTTGGGAATCAATTTTTCCAAGTCTTGCTCCTTAAGGCTGTACAGACATTTCTCAACAATTCCTTGTTCTTTAATGAAAAAATTGTTTGTTAGCAGTAAGTGATAAAAATTACATTTTAAAGTTGAAAAATATGTTTCATAAAGAGTGGAGAGACAAATGTATTTTTGTGAAAATGATGAAGACCATAGTTGGTCCCCACAACATCAGTAGTTAAAGAAATGTATGAATTGAGGATGTTTCTATTTGCCATAAAGGTTGTGTCAATGATTTCGTCAGGGCCTAATGTCACATTTAAATTTGCACTGAATTTTATTGACTATTTAATCCAATTATTATTTTTGTAACATTGTTGATAACACAGTGACATTCAGTGTTTAACACTAAGATTGTTTGTCATAATTTGTAACCAGGATGCAGAACTTCTGGGAGGGTCCACAATGTCCACACTTAAAGTCATTTTAATGCTAATGATGTGTCCACAAATCTTTTGTTTTATATTTTTAAAGGAAAAAGTTAATTTGTTTATTAAACTTTACAAAAGTATGTTAAATGAATAGAAACAGAAAATCATGCATCAAGAAATATTACGTTTTTTACAAAATTAGTGTTTCTACAATTATTGGCACCCCTAAAAACTTTGCTTTATTTTATCTTTTATGGTCCTGCTGTATTTCATATTATACAGCAAAAGCTTGTAGCCATTTCACCTGCTTTTGTGTCTCAGAGATCTGACCCTGTTGATGTGACTCATGTGAAGTTATCTGACATCTTGATGTTTTCAGTTTTAGGTCAGGTGTGTTGCACACTGACTTTCCTGTGATTATCTCATTGTCTTGCTTAATAACTCATTTATGTCAGAGTCTTCCTTTACTTTCAGAGCATTATGAGGTGTAAAGTACATGCTGTACCAACCATGGCTTGTGCCACATTTATGCATAAAAAATTATGTCACAGCTAGTGAAGTGCATTTATATTGATGGAATTTCTTTTGCAATATAAAGATCTTGATTTCCTCAAAACACTACAACAAAGAAATGCTATACTTAACCTCTAAATGTTTCTATCCATTCGCTTAGGTCCCAGTCAATTAATATCGCGCAAACAAAGTCATCCATGACGCAAACATGCAACTGCAAGAGAAACCATGATGTCTTAATGAGCAGCTTAACATGACATTTTTAATACAGTTAGAATCATCTATATAAAAATCCAATCTATAACTTAAAAAGGAAAAGTCTTACCTGTTAATGAAAATGATGAAGACAGAAGAAGTTTGGCCAAAAAAAGGTGAGAACAAATGAAAAAGCCAAAAAACAAGTTTTGAAAACAATTTAAAATTTAAAGTGGAATTTCACCAGATTCTTTGCAAAGAGGCCGTTCACTATTTCTGAAAATGGAGATGAAGGAAGGTGGAATATAAGGCTTCTCACAAAAACAAGGAGGGAAACGTTAGAGAGGAGTGGCTTCATAAAACGAAAGTGTAGTTGAGTGCTTATTCTTTACAACAACGGTACAATGACTAATCTTTTTAAGAGTTTGTGAGGATAAGTTTTGCTTTCCTTGTCTTTTTTCCTAGTTAATCATTTGCATAACTTCTTTGAAATGACCTCTTTAAGTTATGTTTTCTTGACAAATACTTTGCAGAGGAATTGTTGGCATGTAACTATACACATGCAACTAAATGTTTCATAATATAATATGCATCACTTAAATAAACAAGAAAGTAAACAATAAATAAGATGTAAACAGATTCTGTTATTCAAAGCTTTCATGATCTCTTCCTTTTCCATATTTGCTGGAGTTTTGAAAACAAATCAGAGAAGCAAAGCAAAACAGGAACATCAACTGAACATTTAGCCGTGGCACTTAACATCTAATGATGGTCAATTACCTCATGCCAAGATGAAAGAACATAATCATATCAGATAATAAACATAATTAAGTATATGGTAACTCAATGCCTAAAGAATTTTGAGTGGTGCATTGTTTCCTCCATTTACAAACTTATTTTTGATATCCTGTATTATACTGTACCTTCCATACTTTACAAAGGACAGGTGTTTGAATGAAGTTGTTCGGTATGTTGTTTGCGTCTCCTAATTTCATATATGCCTTGTTATCATTCAAAAATACCTTATTCATTCAATCAAGAAAGTACAGAGAGAAATTTGTGGTTTTGAATCTCGTTTAAATCAAATAATATGCACTCTAGCACTTTTTTCACATGAATTACTAGAATTTGAAGCAATAATTTATCCAGCTGTAGTGTCTTGTAAAGGTAACCCCTGTAACATTACAGCCAGCTTCTTTAATGTATTTTGTTTGGAGTTTATCTGATCAACACAAAGTTGTGGATAAAAATGATTTCAAGATTTGCTCAGACATTACTTACCTCGTGTTTCTTACCCCATCTGCTGGATATGTTGTGATACAGCAGCCATTTTTTTCTAAATGTTTTTTCCAGTGGCCCTAATCCTCTTCCGTAGTTAAGTGTTAAATGTTAGATGTATATTTTAATCTCTGACTATGTAACAATCAGTGGAACCAATATGACCAGAACACCTAGATTTTTATAGCCATGAACACAACAATGCAGCAGTCTGTTTACTAGGCCCTTAAAAACACAAGCAGGAAATCTCTCCATCCACTTTTCTGCTCTGTACACTAGGGGGCAGCAGTAATCAACAGCTGACCAGAGAAACTGACCAACAACGTTTAGTTTTTCACAAGTTAGGTGCCTTATTATCAACATTTTAATTATTTAACAAAATAAAAATATACTAAATAAGCAGATGAAACAGATCGACTAGTATTTGTTTCTCTTTTAACCTAAAGTGACAAAACCTGTTAATGTTCATGTGATGTAAGGATTCTCTAAGGCTGCAAGTGGAGATAATGACTCCATACATTATAAACAACGATATACAATGATTGTTAAATTACTCAGTAATATGTTTATTAAAATAAGTTTCAGCGAATCAATCTAATGGAGCAAATATCATGTGTAATTGCTCCCAAAGGGAATTGAATTGAAAGTTTAAATTACCATGATATGAACAAACATCTGGCTGCATCAAAGGGTTTTTCAATTTTTGTCTCTCTGAGATGGAAAATACAGGCTGTATCATACAACTTTCAATTCTAACTGCATGATTTAATCTGTGCAGAAATGATGATTCAAAGTAATTTAAGATCTGGCACATTCTGGAACGTGTTGATGAATTGAAAGCTGATTTCATCTGACCCAGATTTTGAAGGTCCAGAATTAAGGACAGAGACGCAGAAAAGTAGAAAAATCATTCTAGTTGATAGACTTCAATATAAACAATGGTTTGCACTACAAGTGCACGAAGGCAAAACAAAATTAAACTTGCAAGAATATTAAACTTTGTACAAAAGAAAACAACCATTTATAAAACAATGTAACCCCATCCAACCCTGGTTTCCGTCTTCCTCTGATTCAGGAGTACAAACAGATCATCAGTGTCTCTGCAGAGACAATGATGTGGAGGAGTTTAGAACATGTTTGTCATGCAGTGGCTTAAAATAAATCTAACTCTCATTAAAACTCTTCTATTTATGTTTTAGAGGAGATTGTTCCATGGTAATGTTAGCATTGAGTGGAGGCAGGAATCAAACTCAAAGTTACCAACATGCAATAATAATAGAACAAGATTATTCACTTAAAGAGCAATGTTTGACATGTATTCAGCTGTTTGTCAGAGTAGTTAATAGATCTAGCATTTGAACATGATTAAACAGTCTGATGAGCATTACAGTCTGCTGGTCTTTTCTACAGATCTTGATGAGATTGTGAAATGTTTACACTGACATCAACATTTATTATGAGGTACTTCATAGAAATATGAAATTTTATAATGTCACTGTTCATAACTTCACACAGAGGTTTTGAAGTCAAAGATTGCATTTGACCTTGATTTTATATTTTGTTTACCTCTTAGTAGTTTCAATCTGATGCTCTCAGCATTGCAGGCCAGCTGTGTTCATCAGCGCCGACTTTACCGACAGACTGAAACTTCAGTGTGACTCTGCGAATGAGCGCCTCTGTTCACCTGTCCTTACTGACCGAGCCCAGCTGACCAGACCTTTCCGTGAACCTGCTCAGTGGTGACAGCTGTACACAACTAATGCGGAACAGCACACCTCCTCAGAACCGGCCGGACAATGGTTCCTTCAATACCAGGTCCCCCAAGGCAGACCTTCAGCCAAGCCAGATCGTGATGAGGAGCTGACTCAGCAACAGCCACCCAGGTGTGTCATGCTCCTGCAACACAAGAGCTCCTCTATGTGCCACCTGTTTACCTCATTTTACCTCATTTCCCTGCATTTCCATGGACTATATTTGTAGTTTGCTAAGCAGAGAGGGTATTTTCCTGTTGTCAGGTTAATTCTCAAACATTGGAAAGGATAGAGAAACATAAGAGGCCACCTTCACCCAAAGTCACTGGGGAGCAAGGCGATGCTGGGAATCCATGAAAGTTAAGTTAAACAGAAAGCACAAGTGGAATAAGAAAAAGAGTTGTGTACTAAATTTGAACAGTGTTTTCTGTTTGTTCGGGTCAGTCCATGTGTGTATGTGTCTGCTCTTCTCCTGGACTCCCTTAGCAAAGGTCATTTTCAGAGCACGACTTATTAAGAACTGCTGTAAGCAATAGGAAACCAAACCTAAATTTAATGTTGATTTTTATCTCAATGATTTAATTTACCAATTAAATTACTCTCATCTTATCCTTCCCAAATCTTAAGTAATGCTGCTCTGGCTATCATCACCTGAATATTAATCAAAGTAATGTAAGCAGCACTGCTTTTCTGAGCTACTGTGATTGAATTAAGCCATTGTTCATGTCAGTCTATAAACAATTTGAGTAGTGTATTACAGTTTAAATCTCTGGGTGCACAAATACAAGGAGGGGTTTTGAAAGGGATTCTTTGAAATACTTATAGAAACGCCTTAATTTGTTGCATTATCTCCCATTTCAACTACAAACTTTTATATTTTCACTCACGTTCTTCCAGAGTACAGGAAATGATCAAAATGGCATTTCATACAGATATGTTCAAAGTCAACTAAATTCATTCCAACTATTAAACAATGCAGTCAAGCTTTGTTCACAACTCAAATGTTTAAAATGTTTAAAATGTTTTCCATCAAAGCAAACTCCAAAAGACAAACTCTGTTTTAAGAGGAGGAATTATCCATCTGAATCTGCCACAGTGGCCAGAGTGGCCATCTGCAACCAGCAGCTGGGGTTTGATTAAGTCGATTTAATCTAATCCTCTGAAATAAAGTGAAACCAATTGTCTTCAGACATAATCTAATGAGTAAATGAAGTCTGAAATCTCAGAATAAATACTGCTGCTCTGTGAAGGCCTTGAAGGTTTGTTAGAAGATATAAGTGAACAAACAGATGAGATGGAAAATACAGGCTGTATCATACAAGATGGAAAATACAGGCTGTATCATACAACTTAAAGAAATATGGGAATAAAAAATAATTTAGGAAGAAAGAAAACATGTACATTGTGTTCTTTTTGTTTCTTTCCTTTCCTTGATATTCCTCTTCTGTGTTTTCAGTGACAGTTCTACAGAATGTCAACATTTCCATCTTTTTCACATTGAACAACAACTAGCAGGAACCAAATGTCTGTCCAACGTGCTTAAAGTGACTTCCAGCCACGATTTGGTTCTACCTTAAAAGTTTTGGAAAAGGTCTTGGGTTTGAATAAACCAAGAGGCTTGAAAAGGCATTGTGTCTTTAGACTGTTACCATGGGATATAGAAACAAACGGCCATATGTATGTGTGAACAGACATTTGCACGACTGTATCTGTCTTCTCACACCAGGTAAACATGGCATTCAACCAAGAAGGATGGCTTGGGAGAGATTTGTACGTGGCAACTGGAGGAAATACAAATCTTGGCCAGGCGTAGAGCACTTTGATTAGCTGAACGTATTTAGATCCAAGAACAGCACAAGAGGGTCTGGGATCTGTTTGGAAGAGAGACAGTGGAGGATGCCAGCGTTCGACCGAGGCATCCATGGAATGATGCTTTAATAAACTGAGAAGATGAGAATAACTTAAGAGGCTCTTTGTTGGATCCAAATAAATTAGATGGCATCGCTTGTTGCGACCTGGCAACCAGATCCAGCTGGTCAAGGAGGAAAAAGCCCATACATTCTTAACGTTCTTCCTCTCCTTTCAGGCCGTAAAAGGCAGGAATGTTGTTTAACAAACTGCAGTGGATGTTCTGAATGAACAGGCTTCTGGGGTGCTGCATGCTGTAGCTTCACTCTTCAGGTTCATTCAGAGATGACAGCATGAGGGAAAGCCCCTCTCCTGCTGCGTTAAAGCACCACATCCTCCTGTTTCCCGGATCCCCTCCCTTGTCGTCAGATGCAGACATAGTAACTCCGCTATATTTTTACGGTGTTTGACAAACTGCTCCTTAACAACCAAACCCAAACGCGCCAGGGGTCCCATCAGTCAGACTCTGCAGCTATAATCACTTTCTCGCTGATAAAACGTGGTGATGTTTTCCTCTCATGAAAACCAAATATATAACTTTCCAAACTTTTTTTTTCTTTTTCAATGTTTAAAGTTCATTTTGCCTGCCATAATTTATTTTTATTCACCCGCCAAATGTGCAGTTCAGTCACAA